TCAGCTTTCAAAATAAATGTAAAGACAGTACATAATGTCATTAGTTTTACCATCAGTTCAAGCCCGAAAGGGGAACAGACACAGTAATGATGCAGTACACAAGCCGCGGTTAAGACAGCTGACTCTACTGTGATGTGACGCTCTCGCTCTCTCTCTCGCTCTCTCTCTCGCTCTCTCTCTCGCTCTCTCTCTCTCTCTCTCTCTCGCTCGCTCTCACGATGCACACAACTCCGCATTTGAACAGTCAATAGCAAATACTTAAACTAGTAACAAAACATACTTACAGTCGCTGATTCAGAAGTGCCAGATTGTCATAGTAAAGTCAGAATGACCTCCTCTCCTAGGTTCATGAAACGGTCGTCCATAAAATGCATTGCTGTTCTGTTGTAAGTGATCTTAAAGATTCCTAAATGCATCTACTTTCGGAAGGCCAAATAAAGTGCTTTTGCTTTCGCCTAGAAACACACAGCGTATCTCTGACATACTGCTTCAACACTAACTGCGGTTACTGAAACCACACCTTCTTTCTTTGCGTGCACATTTGAGCGGCATTATGCAAATATTCCCACATAGTGACCTAGATATGTGGGGGCGTGTTAGAACGAGCCGTTTTAGGGGGCGTGGCAGAGTCTTTGATAAAGAATATCTCTTTGGTTTTGAGACTTTAGTCTTTGCAACTTCAGGGATCTTATCTATTCACAAACAGCTTGTAACACTCCAAAGAGAAAGGAAAACTTGAAATCGCATCATATGACCCCTTTAATTGTTAACTAAAACTAACACAAAAAACTTTTTTTTTGGTAATTGAAAAAACAAATTGATTAAAAACAAATGTTACGCTGACAGCTAATAGAAAATAAAATTAATAAAATTACTGTAATTAAAACTAAAACTAAACTATAGAAATATATTTAAAAACTAATAAAAATGACAAAAGCAAATAACAAAATGAGAACAAAAATGAAAACTGAAAATATAAAAATTCTAAATATGAATAAATACTATGCAAATTATAATAAAAATAATAATATCAAAGCTTCTCAGATGTTTATAGTAATTTTCTATTTGTTTCCCTTAGTTTCAGAATAGATCTTAAAAATGTTTAATTGTTTGAAACTTTCCTCAGATTTGACAAGACACCATCTTTAAAATTTAAGGAATTTAATATGTGCTTAATAATTTCTCATTAAACTCTTCCAAGATCAGATGATCTGAGCTATCCTATCCACATTAATGTTCCACTTGAGTTCATCTGAGATTGAGAAGTGCATGGAGCATGGCTATGTCGATTCAACTCTTCAAACCATGAGCATGATTGGCCATACAAAAAGAAAATATTCTTTAATTGCTCAGTTGTTTCTCCTAGACAGTTATGAGATTAAATTGAGAACAGATGGAGACTTCTTTTCAGAAATTTCTCCTGAGAAAAACATCCCTATCTCAAATGTCTCAAAAAGTCTGCAAAAAGGTTATAGATCTCAATATGAACTCAAACAATTCTCATCAAATTCGTTCAGTTTCAGGATATCTCATCTATACTATTCATATTAGTTTTAAAGCTCTATAATCGTTCTGTATGTCAACGGCTGTCTCATTTGTCAGTTTTTGTATTTTCAGCAGACACATCAAGAGACAAAGTTGATTCTCAAAGTCCACTGACGTCTCCTGAGCAAAGTAAGTAAATTAAAACATTTAGCATGTGATGGTTTTCTGTCTTCTCCTACATACCAAAACCAATCTGACTCAGTTAGCATTTTGTGTTGAAAAGTGATGACAGATGTTTGTCGGTAACTCACATTGTGTTCTGGTCCTGTTTTTTCGGCAACGTTCCTGTTCTGACCAGAGTGTGGGGTACTGAGAGGTGATGTCTAAAACACACACACACAAATGCACAAAACATTAGTGCTGTCTCAAACCCTAGTGAACGCTCGACCTAGACGCCATTTAAAGGCTTCATTGACACTCACCTTCCTCATCAGCGGACGGCTGGGGTTCCACCATGAAAATCGCTGGCGGATCTGCATTTAGAATGGAGAAGATTTGCAAGGAAACTACAATTACAATTGCCAGCTAGACAGTCACATCACATGAGCCATGACGCATTTGCACATTGCCCGGCCAGGACAGATTAGAGAAATGGAGAAACAGAATAAAACCGAGAACTGAGGAGCACAAACAGGCAGATAAAGGGTTAAAGGAGGTTTAGTGGTTATAACTGACTCACTGAAAGAAAGAAAAAACGGTTTAAACATTCAATCTCTTTGCTTGACATCATGAAACACACGCTTGTAAAGACAAAGAGCAGTGTAGTTCAAATATAGAAGTCTGTAAGTGCAAAAATTGTGATAGATATATGCAAAACAACATCCAAAATGAACACTCGCCAAGCAAATGTGAGTAAAATTTGGCTGAAGTGATTTGACAAATGTTTGCAGTAACTTTATAATGACCTGCAATCTTTTAAGCGTTGTTCTTTGGATAATTGTTCATCTAGGAAGTAGTTTTCCCCTTGTTTGAACTTGTGTGGCAATAAATCCTCATGTCAAGGCACCAAAATGGATAAAGATTCCATTTTAATCATATACAATGATTCATTATGTAATAATATATCGCTTATAATATATAATACAATAATATAATACAGGGTTTTATATTTTACAAGGTGCACCCTTTGACAAATGAAGGCCTAAAAAGTTCTTAAATCGGAGCAGGAAGTCTTAAATTCATAAGTCATGACAAAAATCTTGCATGCACTGAAAAAAGTTTGTGTATTGCTCAGTATTTTTGTTTTCTTTTACAATATAAACATATAAACATCCTTAAATCAAGACACATTTACTTGAGATGCAGTATGAAATTAAACAAAATGAAGTGCGTTTAAGTTTAAAACAAGAATGAACATCTGTCAAAGGGGTATGAAAACTTGTTTTCACTTTGAATTTTTCTTAGCCCATGGGCAGATATTTGATCTTGTTTTAATTTTGATAAATTTCTCAAAAAACAAGACTTCTTATCTTAAGTCATGGCATTTGCACTGGAAAACAAGCAAGTCTTTTTTGTAGTGTAGTAAGTTATTTCCATATTACTACTCGTTGGGCTTACGTGGTCTTAAAAAGATCTTAAAATGTCTTAAGTTTACCTTCATAAAACCTGCAGAAACTTTGCAGTAATAATGTATATTAAATCATTCATAAGGTCAATAATGTATTTCTAAATAAAATAAATAAATAATGCAAAATACATTTTCCTGACTGGTATTTGCGTAAAATGAATTTTGGACCCTGTATGTAAAAAAATATCTGCCTTCCCTGTAAAAAACCCAAGAACAGGCATGATCTGGAGAACAGGCATGCAAGAATGCATGCAAACACACACGCACACAAACAGAGCGGACATATGATCTGTTGTGTGCAGATGGGGATGAAGAAACATCGCTAGACGCTTTGGCCACAGGAATCTAAAATGCTGAGAGCCGCAGGTGTGGTTAACCTCAGCAGGGTCACCATTAACTCATCAGAGGTCATCAACTGCCCCTTCTCTCATTTGGTGTGTTTTTCTCTACTAGCATCTTTGGGGAAAAGTTGGGGAACAGCCACTGTCAGCACACTGATGAAGTGATAAAGTATTACGAGATTCGACCCTGTTATTTATATGACTCTAAAATTTCAGTGTCGCTCAACACATCAATGATTTTCAATGTTTATGTTACTTTTTATTTGATAGGACAGCCCAGAAGTGACAGGAAATGGTGGGAAGAAGGAGAAGGCGTGGGATTGGGAAATGACCCAATATGTGAAACCAGGTCATCATCATGCTTTGTGCACTACTGACCGGGCCGCACCTCTGATAATGGATCTGTTCTAAAACCTAGTGAGCTGCCTTGCTGTCTACTGCCTACTTAGGCAACTGCCTCCTATGGCAGCATGCTAATCATCATGGGACTGATTTTCAAGTGACTGATTTTCTTCCTCAGTATGTTTATCTTCTTTTTCCTTACAAATATCTATAAACATTTAAAATCAAAATACATTTTGTAAAACTGAAGCAAAATTACTTAAGATATTCAATTTTGTTTACTTAAGATAAATGCTTAAAACAAGAACAAGAAAAAATCTGCCAACATTGTAATTTAATTTAAGGGGGAAAAGTTTATTTTTCTTATCCCATTGGCAGACATTTCTTCTTGTTTTAAATGTGAAGTCACTTTTAAATTTTTACTTTTTGCTTTTCAAGTAATCGTGTCTTCATTTAAGAATGTTTAGGTACTTGTGCAGAAAAAAAACTGAGGAAGACTATTTTTTGCAGTGTCTGCATTCACAAAATAATGTTCACCACATGAAAAGCACAGTGATTGATTTCAATAGAGTTTGGCATTAGCAGTTTGTAATCATACAATATTCCAGTATGCATAAAAATAAACAGCACACACAAGCATAGGGTAAATTTAAGCTTTTATCAAGTGTACCAATAATTTTATATATGAAATATTTAATTTAAGAATGTTATATATAGGCTACTATAATATCTAATAATTTACAATTCATTATATAGCAAAAACCTAACTTTGAAAAACCTAACCTGACTGAACATGATCAAATTTTCCATTATATTACAGTGCCTTTTTTACTTGGAAATCTGCTATTTCGTAAGTAAAATCCTATTATCATTATTATTATTTTTTAATCAATACGCTCTTTAGAATTGGTAAAACTTCTAAGAAATAAACTTCAACAAAAACCTTTACATCTCCCATAGCTGAGTTTTTAAACTGAAAAGGACATTCCTCTTAAAACTGAGAAACGGTGATCATCTAGAGATCAGGTGGTCTGTGCTGTTAGTGCCATTAGTAGTGCATGAGAAAGGTCTTCATCTGGAAAGAAGAGAAATGACGTCCAGGTGAAGTGGTTAATGTTCACTGCAGTAATCTGACAGAACCGTGAAGCCCTTCGATTTCGTTTTAACGACTGTGAAAAGCAAAGGCTGTTATTACAGCGTCTCTCTGTTTAACGACTCCACCATACGACCATTTACTTTCAGCCCTGAAGCAACTTCAGCACTCTCAATTCACAAAATATTAGAATGGCAAGCCGTAACTTGCAGTACAGACGCACACACACATTAAAACGTAGCTGCCAGTGCAGATTGTCCCTCATGAGAGTCTTTACCATATCAAAAGAAACCGTTGAAGGTATTTACCTGATTTTCCTGGTTCCTTCGGATTTACTTTACCATTCTTGGACCCTAAAAATCAACAGGGCAATCACAGGTTACTCACGCTTGCATTTTAGCAGATCTACAACTAGAATTTAGTACATTCTAACTGGACTATAACATTCAAATGTGTTCCACAGATCAGAGCAAGTCCATCCAGGAATGGTTCATTTGAAAAGACTTACGTTTTTAATTATGTATTAAGCCTCTACAGAGGAACATGATAATGTTATGAAGGCTGCAGGAGGTAAAAGCCATATGACACTATCTTGGAGTAAAAGAGCAAGAATGTTTGAGTTCGGCCGCTTTGCCTGCCAAGCGCGCATTTGTTTCGTGATGCTCCCCCAGACCTAACTGATTAAGCTGTTGCATGTGCAATTAAATCTAATTGGTCCTTTTCTAGTGAAGCTGTGGTTGTTGTACAAAGCCAAGCCAACAATGTTATGATCCAGGAACCCATGGCCTGCAGTGATAGAGATTCAGTTTTGTGCGTGAGTCTGTGTTTAATGCAGTGCTATGCTAGTTTACTGCATGTGGCTTTGGTTTTGCAGATGCTGAGTTTCTGCATTTCTCTGTTGATTTATATTACTAAACAACTATCATGTTCTGAAACATTGAGATCGTGTCATAAACGTAGAGATTACTGTTTGGAATCACTTCAGAGTATTATTTATAATGTGAAAATCTCTTTTGCAAACAAAGAAGACGTGATTGAAGCACGCAGTAGAATAAAGGCATGAAAAACAAAGCAGAGGAAGACGTATGCTACCTTGGCATTGAGGTTTCTTATTGGCTACTGCTGAGCCGCTGATGGGTCTGCCACTGGGTGTCACACACCAACAATAACCAGTGTAGCCGTGGCACTGAACCTGTTAGTCGAATACAGCACAGATAAAGAAAAAAGACAGAAAGAGAGAGGCAGAAAAATTGAGAAATTGGACCGTGAAATTGTTAAAGGTATAAAATTCTACATTATCCACTTGTAACATCTATAGTTTTATTGTTCTGTCGTTATATTGTTCATCTCACACCTCACTGTAGGTTCCGTCAGGATTGCAGACAGGAACAAACACCTGTGGGAAGAGTTTCTTGGCTTGTTGTTCTGTGTATTTCTTCTCTGCCACACACCTGGACGTATCTGGAGACACAACACGGGTAAATCCAGCAAGTCAGAAGAACTATATAGCCATCCATGTTATTATATGGCAAAAATAACACATTCTCATGTTTTCATTTGGTCAGTCAATTCCTAGGTAATTTGTTGTAAACTGAAAAATTGATGGGCAGCGCGCCGACATATAGCGCCATTGCGCTTCGGATGTCACGAGTTCGAGTCCCGGCTCGCGGACCTTTCCCGATCCCATCCCCCTCTCTCTCACTCACTTCACTTCCTGTCGACCTATACTGTCCTATCTAAATAAAGGCATAAAACGCCATAAATAAACCTTTAAAAAAACCTTTAAAAAAACAAAAGTGAGTCAGGACTTGCCACTGGAGCCCTCTTATAAAATGCATGACACGTCTGCTTAGGAGATCTTGAAAAGTACTATAAACTTGATGATTCATTTTTGTTCACAAACTCTGTCCATTCTCTTTTCTATATATAACCTTCAACCTTATTTCCCATTATTCCACTTTAAGCACACAGTCACTATTCTGCTCATCGTGTCAGTGTAATATAGAAAACAGAAAGAGAGTGAGTGCATTAAATTCAAACCGACAGGCAAGTCCTCTGGCGTTCTCTCTCTGACTGATGTGGCACGGGTGTTTTTTCTTTTCTTTTTTTCGGAGGAAAGGAAAGAATGGTAATGGTGAAAGAAAATGAAGCAGGAAATAAGACTTGGTTTCTTTGCACTGGCATGTGACCTCACAGACACAGAATAATTCAAGATGTTTCGGAAGTGTTGGATCCCTGTGTGTGGTTGGGAGTTAGACCAACAGTCCTACTGGAGTCATCACTATCTCTGTACCATTTCAGAGGTAAAACTGTTGCCGATCTCTCTCTGTCATTCTGTGTTGAGTCTGTGTGAGCTGATGGTGTCCAGCAGGTTGTAATGCATATCTGTACTATGTACATATACTGTATGTGCAAGTGTGTGGGGATGTCAGAAAATCCTCCTGACCTCAAAGGAGACATAAACGCACTCTCTCCACTGGGGCAAATCATAAAAACGCTTTCAGTCTGGGATGGCACAAGAGGATAAGCAAGGAACTCAGTGAAAAAGATGGTTTGCAAGGTAAATGCTAACTTATAAATATATGTACATACTGTATCATTCAGCACTGAAATAAACCACTAAAATAGTTCAGTCTACTTAAAATTAGCTGTTTTACCTAATATTTGTGTGCATTGTGTATTTTTATGCTTATTGGAGTATCAAGTCAAGACCGTTTACATTTATTTAAATAACTCTTTATGAAGTACAGAGTGTTTTAAATCAGCTTCACATTAATAAAATAGGAAAATAACTGTGTTAATGCTGTAAAATGCATTTATTATGAAAAAATATATTTAAGCTCTAAGGCAGCTCTAGAGAAGATAATAGTGTCATTATGTCAGTGTTTCAAAGTTCATAATTCTGATTAACTTAACAATAACATACAATAAGCAGCTCTACGGAAGGCAATTCAGCTCAAGTCAGTTCAGTAAAAATGTAATATTAGTGTCATTATACAGCTCAATTCAATTCAAATTTTGTTCTCGACGGATGGTGTCAGTGCATTTAAATGGATAATATTACTAAATATGAATAGTCTTTTAAACCACAGTTATGGCATTTGCTTAGCAACATGCTTTATCACAATGAATGGATGCTGGAAAATTATGTTGAATAAAAGAGGAAGGATGCTGAGTGCTGAGTGTTTCCAGAGTGGAAAAATGTAAAAATAGTAACAGTTCAAAATGCTTAGCAACATTTATTATTCATTTATTTAAATAACATTTGTTATACTTAACATTTATTATGTCCTTGTTTGTGGGGAGAGACAAATCATATAGAGCGCTGAAATAAACTGTTCTCAACTTTGACGAATCGCTGGATGTGTGCACAGCTGCACAATTCCTGAATGTACTTCCCTTTCCAATCTAATCTTTCCTTTTTGGTTTTCTTTCACTCTCATTTTAGCAGAACATAATTCATCTTATTTTTGTTCTATTCATCCTATTTTCCTCTCTCTCTCTCTATTTCTCACACCCTCTTTAATCCCAATGTAAGAATGACACATTGTGCTTACTAGTAGGGAAAGAAAGAGTGAACATGAGACAGAAAGACGGAGAGCTCTGAGCAGAAAAGAGTACAGGACACAAGAGTCTTCCTGCCGAGCCCAATACAATGAGAGTGTTTGTGAGCCGTTTGACCTTTGACCTCTATGGTTACTGACAGCGCTTGGTCCCTCCCTTCATACAAATGACCACTGATCTCTTACACATATGAATGCACCACTGTACACTGATCCCCATCAATATCTTAGCAAAGATCCTATTTATGGATTTAGTGAAAATGCACTAATTTTTACCAGTCATTGTATATTTTTATATTCTGCTACGCTTTTTTTTCTGCCAATGTGGCCTTGGTTACATCATCAGAAAAGAAAAGCCATTTCAGAGGCATAAAATGTAAGTTCATTTTTTTCGAGTTATAATTTTATTTTAATTTGTTATTAAATTTAAAGCTGCAGTCCGTAAGTTTTGCCTCTTTGTCGCTATCTCTGTTTGAAAACCTGGAATTGCAGCTGTGTGGGGAATTATCTAGCTTGTGTGGGTTGTGAGTCGGCACGGCTCCAGCGCGAATTAATCTAATGTTTTGATGAGTATGTGTGGCAGTCAGTCACTGCACCGGTGTGGATATTTACTGTACTTCGCAATCACAGATTCTAGCCTACGTCTTGGAATATGACCCAAATAATAATTTTCACCGGATATTGCCATCTGAACAAGTAAGTAACAAGTCTGCCACGTTTGTTCTGACCAACTGAGGAAAAAAGCATTACCATAAATCTCGCTACCAATGATGATTAAATCTAAAGATCGGTTAGCTCATATCACATCAAACC